ATTACTTAGTTATCCAGGCCCTTTTTTTTTTCAAAATAATATTTTTTTAAAAGAGAGAAAATTTCAATATTTAGGGTTTTTTTTTTTGGGGGGGGGGGGGGGAATTTTGGGTTCAACCCTTTTATTAATAACTAAAAGAAATACAAACTAATACAACTGAAGGAAAAACAAAAAAAATTACTTTTTTTTTTTGAAAAATTTGGACTAAGCCCGTATATTAATCAAAAAGCGGTTACATGTATTCAAAATTCTTAAATAATGAGTTTATACATATGAAAAGACTAAAGAGAGGCAATTATTGTTGCAAAAAGGCTCTATCAACCAACTGCTTCTTCACGATATAGATGTTCTCAATTTCCAAGAACGTACGTAGTACTAAAGCAAAGCAAAAGATTTGAACTGCACGAAAAATCAATTAAAATAATATTTTCGAGTAGTAAAAAATACAAATATTCCATAAACATTAAACTAAATATATTTTTATATTAAATAAAATATTTGAAAAAATAGCTATAATTTATGCTCTCCCTTTTAATTCACTTTTTACAATACTTGGTTTCTTAAATACATATTGATATATCCTCAAAAAATGATCTTGACCGGGCACAAATCTCGAGACAAAATCTAGCAGAAAACTTAAAAAATTAAATCCGGGGTCACATGAAATCCGATTTCAACGAACTTACAGTCAAACTGAGCATTTCGGAAATACGAACTCAACGACATCAAATTTGGCTCAATCCGAGCCCAAATTAGTCCAAATCAAGCACCCGAAGCACTGCTAGAAAGTTCAAACCATAATTCGAGTCACCAAACGGTTTCCAAATACAACGTTCTTATAGTCGAATGGAGTGGCTCGACGAGACGAATCCAACGAGCCGAAGAACGCTGAATTCCAACATCATTAAGACCTTCAAATGTCTGACGAACGATGCACGATCAAAGGATTTAATATCGGCCGCCCATTCGACCACTCCCTATTTACCCATGATCTCACACTTATTTATAAGCTATGCCACTCCAGAATATCTATAAATAGATATCTCATTTCTCATGAGAGGAGACCCAAGCAAGAAGAAGAGAAGAAGAAGGTTAGGAGGGAAGAAACTACTCCTCGACCGTCGTCGTCGGAGTTCTGCCCGACACATGAGTGACGCCGGAATTCTGCCCGACGCCTAAGTGAAGCCGGAATTCTACTCGACGTCTGAGTAACGCCGGAATTCTGCTCAACTTCCAAAAGAAGCCAGAATTTTGCTCGACTTCTAAACAACGTCGAAATTCTGCACGACGCCCGAGTAACGCCGGAACTGACTCTACTCGACGGTAACTGATTTTCATTCCATAAGTGATTCATTGTAATCTGATCGTCCTAAATTTTAAGGACGGGTCAGCCTCTCATATTTCAAGCAAATATTAGTGGATCCCTTTCAACTGTGCGTGACCCAGTGGTTTTTCCCCTTTTAGGGTTTTCCACGTAAAAATCTTAGTGTTCTTTTATCTTCTGTTTGTGAGCTGAATATTCGTACAACGCTGACTCGAAAATTCTCTAATTCTATCGCCGCGTATATTTTAGAAACATTAAAAATATTTGATTTTATATAAATAAAATATTTTTAAATATTTTTTTATTTGTTATCATATATTTTAAAGACGATTGAAATACCAAAAATTGACGGAATGGATTTAAAAACCATCCAATTTAAATGATATCAAATACCAAAAATTACAATATAAAAAAATTTTTGAAATGCAAAAAAATAGAATGCTATATACTTCAACTGTTATGAACAAAATAACCCTTTAATCTTTTATTGATTAAAAAATTTTGTTCAAAATATCCTAACTAAAATTTAATCAAGAACACAACTCCCCTTGTGAATTTTCTAGCTATTAATTAATTTTAAAAATAGGATCGTTGGATCCGAATTTATTCGTAGAACATACCCAACCTTATTAGCAAGTCTAACTAGAGAGAAATAACCTATGAATAAGAATGAAGAGTAGGGGTGTCAATATTTGACAACACACGAAAACCCGACCCAAAAATTTTGGAATTTGGATTAGACTCGACCCGTTTCCAAAATGGGTCGGGTTGACCTGACAGGTTGCCGTGTCAACCCGAAACCCGTTTAAAATGTCTTCCCGCCCCCTGCTCGGCTACCCGCGGACTTGCCAGCACGCTACCGCACGAACGAGGATGCCCGCGCGGCTGCTCGAACGCCCTGTCCGCACGCCATGCTGCACCCTCCCGCGTGGCTTCACCAGCCCGCTCACATCCGCTTCTGAGTCCGAGCCCGCCTTCCCGTGTTCGGTCGGGTCAACCCGGCAACCCGCAGGGTCGGGTCCGGGTTTGAATTTCCAAACCATTTTCTACCTTGGTCGGGTTAGGGTCGACCCGTTTGAATCTGGGTTAGTTCTGAATTCGATCCAAACCAGACCCGTGACCCGAAATTGACACCCCTAATGAAGAGTAAAGAGAAAAAAGAGAGGATGAGTGAAAATCTCAGACATGCATAAAATTTCATACTAATCCAAGAGGCTTCTTTTGATAATATTTTGTGTGTTTTGAACAATGCACATTACCTCTTATTTATAAGATTCATAGAGCTACAGAAAGAGCTCAATGAAAAAAGATAAAAAAAAAAATACAACATCACACCATGCTACACACACATAACGCCATTTCATTGGTGGGAGAGCTAGGATAAAAATTTACCTCTGATGTGTTGTTGGTCATAAAGGACGAGCTCTAATGTGTCGTGGGTTGACGTTGAGTCATACAAATTCTATAGTGGCAGCCGGTTAGGCCTTGTTGTTTCACTCGAAGTCAAGGATCGTGGTGATGGAATGGGTAGGAGTGTACTGAAGAAAATTGGTATTTGATGCGGAAGCTTTTATTCTGTATAGACACTGGACGGAAGAACGTTCGGTTAAGCACTGGGTACCTAGCAGTGCCCAATAATATCGAGTGCAGGTATCGAACTGAATACCCACTAATAACATAACATGACGTATTTTTATTAATCTCCGAACGTCCTCCGCATCTGCACAGAATAATAGAGCCTGATGCGGTGATGGGCGTAGGTGGTACTACTAATACCCCCTCGGATGAGAGCCCTCCTGGCGCCAAGCTCGAGTGAGAAATGATGGTTCTATGGTGGAGCTGACGAGTGATAGGTAATTTGCCTGGCACCTTCATCATGATCACCTGGCCATTACATGTTAAGATCACACCACAAACGTATACAAGGACACTATAAAACTAATTAATTAATTATATAATATACTCATCTTAAATCAAATTTAATAATTAATAAATTTCACTTTTGACAAAAATTTACTTCAAGATTACTATCATAAAATAGGATTTTTCGCAGCAGTTATCATGGACTCATGATCCAATTATAATCGCTGGACCCTCGCATCTCGCGATCCACGGCCTCTTCTTTCTCTTTAGATACCAAACCCTAGGCTTCTCCGAGTGACCCTTCTCTCCGTTTGCTCGACCGTTCGTCACTCGATCTCGCGGGCTTGTTTTGATAGGAGCCGTCGTCGGCGTCAAAGACCAAAGTCCGGCCATCTGCTCATGTCCATGGTAGTTCCTCCGATCTCCCTGCTCAGTATAAACCCTAAACTTTTTCTTTTTAATTTTTTTCAAATGCTTGCACATTAGGTTAAAGAAGATGATGGTTAACGAAATGACCTCATTATTGTGAATTTGTTTATATAATTTGGATGAGTTTGCAATATTGTTTGAACAAAAATATCGGCTCCCAAAAAAATGTGATGGTTGATTTGCATGAGATTTTGGAGCTTCCGAAGCTTGCAGGAACGGTCACAAAATTGTTGTTTGCATGTTAAATTTTAAATCAAGCTAACTGACAAAAAAAATTTTGAAGATGCATCTTAAATATTTTGTATTTATTTTGAGATGAATATTTTATATATATGAAATTAAGTTAAATCAAATTTTGTATTTTAATTTGAATGTACAAAACAATTATATTTCTTTAAAATTGGTTATATTTTTATAACAGTGTGTAATGGCCATGGGAAGCTAAAATTAAAGCCTAAATTGTATATAATATTGAAATGAGGTAGGGCCAAAATGCAATTTATAATTCATTAATTAAGCAATAAATGTGTGATTAGTTTAATTTTCAAAACGTAAAAGTAATTAGTTCTTTGGCAAATTGTATAGAATTTAATGTAATGAAGTATAATTTTTATTTTCGTAATTGCTTTTTTGCTTTCAAAAGAATTACATATAATCAATAGAACACAAATTTGTTCTATACATTTAAGCATAAAGATTGTACTACAAAAATACATTTGTCGAGTTAGCTCTTGGCAGCCCTGACCTTAGCAACCTGATCTTTCCCTTTTTCTATACATTCATATGCTCAGTAGATTGCTTGTCACAAAATCTTATTATATAAGTCAGTTCCCTTATTTGTAGTAGAGGATTAATGGTGCTGATGAGGTAGAGAGGCGGCTAGGGTTTGCTTATTCCTCCTTCGCCGCTAGTTGTTATCTTCTTCCTCCTTCTTCCCTCCGGCGATGCCGGAGGGAACTTCTCCCTCTCATCCTCACACGGATGCAGCTCCTTCGATGACAGATTTCCCCCCGCTTGTGCGTGCTCAGAGAAGGATAGTACGTACTAAAAAGGCTTTTAGTTTTTCAGAGAATAGCAGGCATTTTTTTTTTTTTTTTTTTGGAAAATTTGGAGTCTTAGCCCATTTCATTCAAAAATGAAGGAATTACAGTAAGAAATTTGTCTACTAGCACAACAAACAATTAGCAGACAACAAAACCATATCAGCAAAAAAGCTGCTTAACAAAAGAAACCTAGAACAAAATAGAAGAAAGCAAAAATGGAAGGACTCAGAATAGCAATAGTCGTGTATAGCTCCCAGGCAGCAAAATTCATCCATAAGGATGTAGGGGTCCCCTGGTTGTCGTAAGGCCGTCCAAGGGGATGAATAAAATGATTGCATTCATCATCGTCCTTCAAAAAGGCAGTTCCTGGTTGCCAAAGGAGACCATCCAGGAACAGCAGAGGCTCGGTAAGTAGCACATTCATCGTCAAGATACTCTTCCTCAGCTGAAGAACAAAAATAAGCAATTCTGTAATAGATGTGAACGTTTCCACTTGGAGATTTTGAGTTACACAGCACGTTTGATCTTGGCAACAGTGGTGGAGTGACAATCAATAGAATTGCCAAATAACCTGTCATTTCTAGCTCTCCAAATGTAGTAAACAATAACACATAGTAAGAGATAGCACATGTTCTTCCTGCTTTTATCAATATCCCAATCATCAATACAATGAAAAGCTTGCCAGATATTAGGACGTAAATGCATGCTGTTCATACGAGGAAAAACCTTCTTAAGGATATCAAAAGAATAATCACACTCAAAGAAAAGGTGATTGTGGCTTTCCCCAATGATTTGGCAGAAGGCACATAAGGGGTTAACCGCTAAACCACTTAGAATCAAGTTATCAGAAGTTTTGAGACCATGCCTAAAAGCCATCCAAGTGTAAAGAGAAAAGCGCAATGTGTAATGTTTATGTCAGACGAGCTTATACTAAGGCACAGTTTGACAATCCAAAAGAAACACTTGTGAAAAGTTTTAAAAGAAGGTTTAGCATTGTTAGTCCAGTAACAGTTACCCAAAGAGTTGGAGATGGGAACAGAGGTCATAATGTCAGCCAAAAGAGTCGAAATAGCAAGGGGTAAAGTTCATCTCCCATTAGAAAGAAGAGAGCTAACAGTTAAGTTGTGAGGGAAAATCAGGTGTTCCAGATTTTCATGTTTCAACCTCCACCGTCATAGGAGGGGAACTGATCATTGGGATTTGGAGGTTGGGGTGGTAGCCTTTTTGGCTGTTTTAGATATCGTGGGTTTAGTACAAGTAGTACTAGCAAGTGCCTGTTTTTCACTTCCAATGCTTGAGCTGCCAGCATTACCCCCACCACCTACCTTCAAGAGCTCAGAGGCAGGGAAAGGAGGGATAACATGGCAAGAGGTCTGGCTCGTGGTAGGATCATTTTGATCCTTAATATGGCAAATTTATTAGTGGTTGGGATAGTAGGGGATTTTGGAGGAGCTGTAATATTGTTGACCATGGGGTTGTGTTAGGATGAAATTGGGGATGGTGAGGGAGATTCTGTGGAAGGGGAATTGAGGTTAGGAATCACAATTTGGGTGGTGGTAGGATTGGTGGCAGGAGGGAAAAATTATCCAAGGGTGTCACCGGTGCCTGGGAGAGAGGAGGTTATGGAGGTTTGGGTATGTTGAGTCTTGGCGGGAGCTTATGCGGCTTGCGGCTAGAGCTTCTGCCACGGGTTCTGGGAGGCTCAGCTTGTGGAGGTTGCTGATTTGGGTTTTCAGGGAAGGCGGTGGGGGCATGCATTATTGAGTTACATAACGAACAATGAGTAGGTTTTCAGTCGTAAAGCACTGTTAGGGGAAAAACTTTCCCATCAACAGTGTAGTAATTCTCATCAGGAAGGGGAGAGGTGCTGCTAACTGGACACAAACCCTAGCAAAGGTAAGTCTAGTTTTTGCAACAGTAAGAGCGTCCATAGACAGTGGTATCCCAACGCAGCTCGTGATTTTGGATATCCCTTCCAGCGTCCAGCAGGAAAGGGGGAAGTTTTTGATTTTGATCCAGAGAGGGATCGAAAGAAACTCTTCGCGTTTAAGGACGAAGTTCAGCGTCCACTTTTTCAAAATGAAGGGCTTTCCGAAGAAGAACCAAGGTTCGCCCGACCAAGCCATATCATATTCCTCACTATTATTAAACTTAGGAGGAAGAAGCCATCGTCCAAGGTCAGCAATGAGAGAGTGCCCTTTAGGGACCAGGTTTTTTTGATTGTGAAGAGAAGGGCTTCATAGTAAGGTCTTCGGCCGATGGAGTATCCGACCAGCGAAAGAGCCCATTCAAGAGATCCGGTATTGAACTGAACCGAAATGAAATGAGTAGTAGCATTTTCAGTCGGGAAGTGAGAAATCAAAGAAGTGAACTCATTCGACACAAGAGGCGGAGTCGCGATGAGACTCTTCCAATCTCGGGGAAAGTCAGCAGAGAAGAAAGGATTATTAGGAGGGGGGAAGAGAGGGGGAAAAATGGAGGAGGACATCCCGAAAGAGATCCTCCCCGAAGGGGCAGAGAGGGTGGTCAGAAATCGCAAATCGCAAACCCTAGCGCATGATTAGTTGAGACCATATAGAGCATCAAAGGCATAGAACATGAAACTTTTGGGTAATATTTTTAGAATTCTATTCAGTCTTTGTTCTCCTTAATCTAATTGGGTAATATTTTTTCTCAAAAACTGCTGGAAATTTATTTTCTCAAATATGATTGATAAGAGCTCGATATCAAAACCTACATGGAGTGGTGACTATGATAAAGATGTTGAGAATTTCTTAGAATTTGTAATGTCAAAGCTCGACACAAAAAATTTTATGTCCATGCAAATTATGTATTAACATATATTTTCATTATGTCAAAAATGTCAAGTTGCATTTACTCTATAAAGAATTTTTTCACGGATACGTTGTTTGGAATAGACATTGAGAGGAACATGCTTTTTTCGCTGAAGTAACAAGATCAGAAATAATTAGTGATACTTGTAATGTTAATAAAGTACAAATTCAAGAAGAGAAACCAAGACTAAATGATATAGAAGGATTGTTAAAGGTCACATTTTGCTCAGACAATGTCAATTTAGATATTGAACATAATGAAAGCAATGTAGATCTGACAAATGATGGTATGAAGCAATTTCATGATTTATTACTAGAAGTAGGGGAAGAATTATACCCTGGCTATAAGTCATTCACGAAGTTATCATTCATCGTATATTTATTTCGCCTAAAGTGATTACACTCTTGGTCTGCAAGATCTTTTGATCAATTGATTGAGTTATTGATTGAAGCTTTCTCTGATTGTTCGTTGCTACCTAAGAATACATATGAAGTGAAGAAGATTATGAAAGTGTTCGATCTTGGATATACAAAGATTGATGCATGTCCAAATGATTGTTGTTTATTTTGGAAAGATATATCCAATCAGGAGGTATGACATATTTATGGTTATTCACGATAGGCAAGTGTTAAAAAAAGTTCAACTAGAAGAAATAAAAAACAAATGAAGTCTGCCAAGGTTTTTTGATACTTCCCATTGATTCATAGGCTTCAAAGATTGTTTAAAACAAAAAAGTATGCTGAAGAAATTATTTGGCATGCCAAACAGAGAAATATAGATGGGTTGTTACGACATCCAACTGATGGAGAAGCATGGAAATCCTTTGACTCTAGATATCCTGATTTTGCTTTAGCATTAACAAGTGATGGTAAAACTGCTATAAAAATGTTAGTGGCGGGTAAAACCGTCGAGAAATATTAGTGGCGGGTTACGCCATCTAGTGGTTATAAAATCGATGCAAAAATATTAGTTGTGGGTAAAACCGTCGAGAAGAGTCAAAATATTTGCTACGAAAGCCTTATTTTTTGATAGTGGATATTATAACCTAAATTTCTTCTTTAAATTTTAAATCACTGTTCCGACGTTGGTGAATTATAATAAAGGATGAATTTGAGTTTGCTCTTCACTTCAAAAAAGAATAAAAAAAAAAACTCAAGAGGGAAGAATCAATACTTAATTCTTTTAAATCTGCTAATGGTTTCCCATGAAGGCTATTAATAGATGTACCATACTACTTATGAATCACTTATTATCCTGACATCGAAGGGATCATAGTTAGTGGGCGAAGAATGACGGAGAGATTGTAGTCGATGAGCAATGGTGGTCAAAGGGATTGTAGTCGGCTAGCGATGGAGATCGGAGGGACCGTAGCCCACAGGTAACGATAGATGGAGGGATCGTTGTAGAGGGGTGACAAAGGTTAGAGAGACCATAGTTGGCAGGCGATAGAGGTCGGAGGGACCACAGTTGGGGGGCGATAGAGGTCAAAGGGACCGTAGTCGGCGTATGACATTGGTTGGACCGATCACAATTTCCAAGTGACAGTGGTATGAGGGATCATAGTCGGCGGGCGATGGAGGTTGGAGGGACTATAGTCGGCGGGTGATGGTGGTCAGAGGGACCATAGTCGATATGTGATTAAGATTGGAGGGACTATATTCGGTGGTTGACGATGGTCGGATGGACCATAGTTTGCAGGTGAAGGTGGTCAAAGGGACTATAGTCGGAATGTGATGGTGGTCGGAGGGACGGTAGTCACGTTGAATGTCAGAGGGATCAAAGTTAGCAAGCAACGATGGTCGGACAGACCGTAGTTAGTGAGAAATGGGGGTTGGAGTGACCGCACTCGAAGGGCGATTGAGGTCAGAGAGACTGTAGTTGTCGAGCAATGGTGGTCGGAGGGATCGTAGTTGGTGGGCGATGGCGGTTAGAGGGATTGTTGTCTATGGGCGACGAAGGTCAGAGGGATCGTAGTCGGCGAGCGACGATGGTCGGAGGGACAGTAGTCGACGGGTGATGATGGTCGGAGAGACCGTAGTTGGTGGGCCATAATGATCAAAGTGACTGTAGACGAAGTGCAATGGTGATCGGAGGGATCTCAGTCAACAGGCGACGATGGTCAAAGGGGCCATAATCGATGGCTGATATTGGTCAAACGGTCTATAGTCGGTGGGTGACGGTAGTTAGAGGGACCATAGTAGGCGGGAAACGGTGGTCCGAGGGACCATAGTCATTAAGAAACAGTGGTCCAATGGGCATCGACGATAGGGTGGTGGTCTGACGATGGTCGGGTGAAAGTCAAGCGGTAGCCGGGCGGTTGATGGCGGCCTGGCGATGATCTGATGATGGTCGAGCGGAAGTACAACGGCGGTTGGCAACCATAGGGTAGTCCAACGACGGTCGGTGGTCGAGCGGTAGCCCAACGACGATCGAGGAAAGTTCGCCAGCGGAGGTGCTTGGGGTAGAGCTCTAGATCCTTGAAGCCTCATAGCTCTTTTCAATCTCCAACAAAATGTCCAAACCCAACCCTCCTTCATGTGGAAAGTGAGGCTCTATTTATAGATTTTTGAAAATGACATACTCCGTAAATATGGAGAAGATCCAAGACAAAATTAGAGTGGTCAATTGAACGGCTCATATCGATTCCTTCGATTATAGAGCATTCATCAAGCATTTGAGCACTAAAATCATGTATGAATCAAGCATTCCTGAGCTTGTTGGATTTGTCTCGTTGAACCGCTCAATTTGAATATAAACATGCTATATTTGGATATTATTTGTCCATCCAATTAATGTTTTGAATCTTTCAAATGTACATCGGGCCCTGATTTGGACCCATTTGGGCTCGGATTGAACCGATTTTGGTGTCGTTGAGTTTATCTCTTTGAGATGTTCAGTTTGACCATAAGTTTGATGATATCGGAGTTTGAATGGTCCCGTGTTTAATTTCGAAAGTTTTCAACTTGAATATACCTCAAACTTGTGATGGATCAAAGTGATTTTTTGTGACGTATCAATTATAATTTGATAAATGTCAAATGACATGCAACATCCAATTATCATTTAACAATTTTTGAACATATATATATATTGAAAACAATATAAAAAAGGGAAAGGAAATGAACCTAGTTGAGGCAGAGCTGTGGCTCCAGTGTATTGTATTAATTTGTGATCAAGCAAAACGACCTCATCCAAGTTGGGCCGAAGCCCACATTGTGAAACATTAAAAGTAGTAATAATAATAATAATAATAATAATAATAAGCCTATAAGAGGTGATCAGGGGCTTTTTTCTAGGGAAAATGCTTCATAAATTAAAAGATAAAATTTAATATTTTTATACAAAATATTATGCAATAAAACTTATCTAAATATAATCAAGAGAATAAAATTATCATGTAATATGATTTAAAAAAAAAAAAAAAAACTAGCTAGCACACTTGTGTAAATGCCCTCGGATGTATAGGCATGATAATAATACAGTACTACTAATAACCAAAAAAATGAAAATATACTTGCTGATTAATTAGGTTATATTACAATAATAATTCCCATAGATTTCTGTGATAAATATATATATTCAGCATTTATAATTAATATTATAGATAATTTGAGGATCCACTCAATCTGCATTTCCAAAAATACCAACATATATACATGCTCGTGCAAGGAAGGAACTCGAGAAAATACATTCTTTTACTTGAATTATAAATGAAGGGGACACGAGCTGGAATGACGACAACGACATCGTCAGCATAAAAATTAAGATGTTGAGTCCAAACACAGCCATTAATTAGTAATAAGGGGGCAATGAGGTGGAAGGATTGACGACAATATGCCTGAGAGGATGGTCAACATCTCCCCCTCCTGCGTGCTTGATGAACTCAGCTGGACTGAGGAAGCTGCCATGACAAACACAGACGATACTCACATCTTCACCCTTTTTGTATCTGTAGAGGAAACCTTCAATTCTTTTACCATTAGGACCATCTCCTTTGGTTGAAACACAAGGCATTTCTTCCATTATATTTGTTTTCATGTCTTTCGATACCTGACTCATCATCCTCTTCATCGCTTCATCATCTTCTCCCAAAGATCTGAGAGATCGTAAAGCTGAACCTGGATGAGTTGTTGTTTCTGCTTTGTCAATGGCGTCAGATGTTGAAACTGCTGCGTTGTTGTTGTTGTTGTGCGACTCTGGGATTTCAGGCACTGGATAACAACTTATATATGTTGTAAATTTTATGAATACAGAGAGAGAATCAAGTCAAAAATTGAGCTAGATTCTTTAAAGCTATATTCACGAACAACTCATCAATAATGCAACTAATCAGGTTACCAAGTGATTGTTTTAGACAACCAAAGCTCAGAGAGAGAGAGAGAGAGAGAGAGATTCCAGCCCTTGATTCGTGAACCGGAAATCCTTGGTAACCTTTGCCACCAACTTCAAAAGACCGAGTTTTGAGATTTGCCTAGATTTACAAGCTATGAAGCTATTATTTGTAAGGCTTCTGCTACTATATCCAGGGATTTAATCAGGATTTAGCAGAGTTCAGATCCAGCTCAAATTAAGGGGCTAGCTATTTGGTTGCAAGATTTAGCAAGAGATTTAATCAGGATTTAAGTTAAATGTAGCCAGAAAATGTACTGACCTCAATACATCCTAGTACCTTAGAACTTGTTTTCCTCCCGATTTAGGATAACTACCAGATCTACTCTCCAGGAGGAAATAGGATTTGAGAGATTTACATACACTTCTCTTCATTGTGCATCTTCTTTTCTTTCATTTAAATACTAGATCTTGAAAGATTTTGTGAGATAGTTGACGAGTACTTAATCAGAATTGATATCTATCATGCAAAACAATTTTCAGGATTTAATCATTCAAGAATTGCAAAGACTTACTAAATCCTACTTGAATTATATCCTACATGTCGTTAAACAGCCCACAAGAAAACAGGATTCAGCAAATCTGGTGAAGAAACAAAAGAGATGAAACGAAATAGGCAGCAACAGGCCGCTGCTTCACAAGAAAATCACCACGAATTAGTTACCTTACAGAGAGAGTAGACAACAAAAAGGAAAACAAAAAACAGAAATAAATGAAATTTAAAGCAGGAACTGCTCCTCCGTGGACCCCCATACTTTCCCACGCCTAAATCCCAAAACAGCTGGAGAAAGAAAGCAGGAACATCCAAGAAAAATCCAAATCCATTTCACAAATTTCAGAAGTTCCCACTTTTTTTTTATCCAATCAGTAAAGTTAACCACAGTATAACGAGAAAAACTCAATACCTCGCGATCCACCGGTATCAAAGGTCGAGCTGCTCCTCCGCATCCCAGCCAGCATCGCAGGCGAAAGCACCGGCCGGGGGCCGCTGGCTCTCGGGGGAACACCCACGTACACCTCACCATCAACACCTGGCCTTGAAAAGCTCCTCTTTTCCTCCCGCTTCCTCTTTGCCTCTAGTCTTTTCAAGCTCTGCATCTCCTTTCTCTTCCGATTCTCTTCATCCGCTTCCACCGGCAACGAGCAGGTCCTCGCCAGCGGAGCAGCGGCCGGCAGGAAGTCCTTCTCCGTTGGAAATATGGAGAGTGCAGCGATCGAAGAGGAACGCACGAGCCTTTTGTCGCTACGTTCCACGGCAAAGCAACCGCCAAGTGAGAGCCCGAGGCAGAGATCCATCTCACTGGAAGCAGGTGCGGAGAGCAAAGAACAATCCGACGACGTAAAGGAATGGTTTTCACTGCAGCTTGTGCCGGCAAGTCGCCGGAGGAGGTCGCGAGGGCAGGGGAGCTCCTCTACTTCAACCTCCCGGACCTCTATATCCATTAAAATAGTAAAATAGATTGCCAAAAACAAGACTTTTACAAAGAAAGGGAGAAAATAAGTAGGAAGGATCTAAAAGTGGAAAGTTTTCCAGGGATCCAGCCGGAAATCGCCGGAGAAGACGAGGGGAAGCGGGGTGACACCCAGTGGTCGGAATCAGAACAGAGTGATTTTTATGGCGAAAGGGTTGAAAGGACGGACATACCCTCACTCAACAGGAGGGACATGTGTTTAGATCTAAGGACGCGTCCACGTGGCTGATGGCGTAGATAACGGCAACTGCATCGCGTCCTTGCTAAGGGACCGGCGCGGATGGCCCACACTGCCCGAGGACACTTGGCGTCCGGCTAGAGAACTACGGAGTTTGGACACGTGGCCACATCATGTTGCTTTCCTCTGATCCCGGCCTCTCTTGGTTCTACCATTCTCAGTGGGACCCAATGTCGTCCAAAAATTGTCCTTCTTTTAAAATTGGGATGCTGCCCAATCCTGCCGCAAGGATTGAAGTTTTGACTTCCACTAACGATTCAAGCCGTTTAAAATTTATTAAATAAAAAATTCTACTAATTGAATTAAAAAATTAAAGAAAAATATTTATATACATTTAACTCATTCAAAAAGTATAAAAAAATAAAGAAATATACATGAAAAAATAAATATAAGATAAAAAACTAAAAGGCAATTGGAATGGACTCTAAAAATATATACTTTATTCACAATTAAATATAATATCAATTATGTAGAACCTACTCAATAGAGATATCATAATCCATCATTGGTTATAGCCTACCTTAGATTGCCCAAAAATTCAAAGGAATTGAAATAAAAAGCATATATCAAACTACTTTTGAGTCATAGCTATTAGCACAATCATAAGAGGCTAGCCACCCAAATTAATCAAAAGCTTCTAGTATAGCAACTTAACATAACTTGACCAAAGAGAATGTGAATCCTTCATAAGGTTAATTATCGTGTGTATTTTTTTTTTTTTAAGCGTAATATTTTCTATAGATCTATAACTCTACCTCTACTTATAAATAAGCTATCAGAGGATAAACACAAGTGACACAACTTATTATCACGAAGTCTCTACTTTTTAGCCATAAGAAATTAGATAGCTAATCTCAATCTCCCTTCTAATTCTCTATCTCCCCCTCTCTTTTTCATTGGGCTCTTTCAATTTGTTTTATCATTAGGGTTCAAGTCCAAAGATATTTGATTATAATCCCTTCGACCACCGTCGCCCATCGACTACGATCCCTCCGATTTCTGTCGCTCGCCGACTATTGCCCCTGCGACCACCGTCGCCCACCCATTATGCTCCCTTCGACCTTCATCACCAGCCGACTACGATCTCTTTGACCTACGTCGCCTGCCTACTACGGTCCATTTGACCACCGTCACCAGCCGACTACAGTCCTAGCAACCAAATGAAAATGTCACACTCTCTTGAGAACAACTCTCATATCACTAATTTTTCCAACTCCCACCATGTAATTTTCTCTATATATGTATATTTTCTACATCAATCTATGGCCTTCAATCAATAATAAATATTAGTGGAACCATTTAAGTTGGGCCAATCCCTGTGATTTTTCCCCTTTTCAGGATTTTTCACGTAAAAATCATGATGCCACTTATGACTCTTACACCCCTCTTTCTTATATGTTTGTGTGCTAAATTTTCATATAAATATTAGACATTAAACTATATATTTCTCTACCACCATGAATGTTCTAGTCCGCAATAGTAACTATAAATGGTCCAAGCTATAATAATAACAATAATTGTTATCATCATCATCATTATCATTATTATTATTATCATTATTATTATTATTATTATTATTATTATTATACATCCAAAAAAACTTGTAGTTAACAAAGGAGAAAGTACTCCAAAATAATTTAAATTGCTCCACCCTTATTAGAGAACTTCAACAACCTTCTAGAAGGAAATCCCTCTTTTTTTGTGATTAAAAAACCCGTGTGATATTTAATTCTTATTCGAAAGCATCAATAGTGATGATGTCATTTTTGCGCAACTTGTGGCTTTAAATTTTAAAAATAGATTTTAGATATTCAGTTATGAAAATTCTTAAATTAACTTGATTTTAAAATGTATGTTCGATAAAAACAAAAAAAAAAACAAATCAAAATTAATATTACGTTTATCTATTAAATACGCTTTAATTGAATGCTTCATATTTTAACAGGTCATATTCGTTTAGATCTTTATATCTACATTAACTTTCATATTTTATCTTATATCAACGATCTAGCATGTAATAATATATAGAAAACAATCAGCATAATTTTTTCCTCATTTCTTCTTCTTCTTAGCAATATGGTATCAAAAAGGATCCTCTATTTTTCTCTTTATGATGATAAGGATTGGATGGTGGAGCCCTAGCTCACTGATGTGATCAATTGGTGGATTGGAGACTTTTCTAAAATAATTAGAAGAATTAGCATTAATTTAAAGGAGCTAATTTGACGGTGAATGTAAGTCACAATTCATGCAATCAGACCATACAAAAAACTCGGTTCTTTTTCTAATGATTCGTCCTCTACAAATCTCCAAATCAAGCAAACTTGTACTTGTAGCTAAGTATGTATACTTTACTTATGAAAAGTTTGGTAATAATTAAAAAATATATATTTATAGTCATATTAGAAAATTCATAGCGATAGAGCAAGTTTTACATCTTCGTATTGTATGAAGATCTATTATGCACATTGATAAAAATGGGTCACAAAGGACATCAAATTTTTTGCGCTTCAAATGTTTGATCTGAGGTCATTTTGATTTTAGTCGTATCACTTTTTATCTCGATAGTTCATCTTTTTGAGATGTTTAATATGACCATAAAATTATTGAAATCAAAATTTAGTTGATTTTGAATTTAATTTTAAAATTTTTAATTCAAATATATATGCATTGCATGATCAAGTAAATTTAATAATCTCATGTCAATTTTATTTTCTATGTGATAAAATATTTATAATATTATATCAATATCTATAGTGTTGATAAAGATATTAAATAATAAATTATTAGATAAATTAACTCTTTAAAAAAAAATATTTAAATATCCTCAAACAACACAAAAAATATTTAGAAATATCAAAGCTAGGCTTTTCAATTACTGACCAAATTTTTCTGTGTGGACGTCGAACCCAGCCCTATATCCGGAGACAATCAGAATGAATCATGTTAGCAATACCGAGCATGGTACCAAACCGTTGTATCGAGCGGTACCGAGCCACGGTACAGACATGGCTCATTCTGATTGGTCTAAAAATAACGTTCAACATTCGCATAGAATAATTGCTCCCGCCTCTAACATCCAGATCCGACTTTGTCCACACATAAATATTATATATATTAAAAAAATAATTGAGAAAAAGGTAATTGTCCAAGTGGCAGCATAAGGACATGATTCCTTCTCGCTTTAACTTTAAATTTTCTTATAAGATAATTAATCTGAGGGAACAAAAATCTTCCAGCTGGTATGAATGTTTGATTGATGAGATGAGAAGAAAAGATAATGAGTGGGAAAGCAAAAGGAGCCGATGTCTTTAAAAGATTGGGACCATTCCTTCCATAATTTTTTTTTTGAACGGAGAATATGAGGGCTGCAGACTTTGGCCTGCCCGACACGTAGGCGCTTTTCATTTGATGTCACGTCAGTGATGGGCCCTACTCAGTATCATTCGCGCCACTATTCATACTGTGAGCTGTTGACTCGCAAATATATCTTTATATTTTTACATTCTCATTTATATATTTATTTGTCATTACAATGTATGAGTTTGTAATTTTTTTTCTTATATGTATTTAGATTTGTATTTGTGTATAAACATATAAATTATGACTCTTCATTTTAATTGGAATATATGAGTTATCACTCTTTTTAAAGTTAATATTATTCGATTTAAATTTGTTCGTTTGTAGATGATACTCTATTTTACTAAAAAGCTCAGGGATACTAGAGGTAATTATGGAAGATGCTAAGAGGATTTAAGAGATATATGAGTAGAGAAATCGAAATATGTGGCACTAGAAAAAAAAAAAACTTAAAAGATCCAATATATGACTATTCATTATTTATTTATAGAAATCGAGGATATAGAGATGGCTACATACTAAAGATACAAAGTACAACAATAAATAGGAGTCATTTCTAACGATTTATAATGCACGTCATGATTTGATAAGTGCTATGCACTGTTGTTCACTTTAAGCCGAGCTCTCAGCGTTGGGATGAGTCTACTTGGCTAAACTTTCATGGAAAAGTCGATGAGAGCAAGTCCTCAAGGTAGCCCATGCTAGACGAGGCTATAGCAACAAATTCTTTGGCCATCTTGGCAACTCCATGGGCTCAAGTTTTAGGCTGTTTGAATGTAAGGGATGAGTTCACGTCTGATATAGTAATTGTGAGCAGAGGGTTCTCTAAGTACAAAGGAGCTTATATATATTCTTCTAAGGGTGAGCCATTTTTGCGATTGGATTAGAGGTGATGTTGGTGCCTTGTTGGTCCAGGGAATGATGAGTTGCTCTAGGAGGATGTTCTTCACCAATGAGATGAGTCTTCCAAGCCCAAAGAGATTTTTATGGATGCTTGGAATTCCTGCTAAAGGTGACCCTCAAGCCTTTTGATCGAGTTGACCAATGATTTTTGGTTGACGAGTACTTTGAGAGATGTGACAATCATTCTTGATAGAGTCTTTGTTGTTGGAGTTCGTCATGTTCAAAATTTTCAACTAAAAACTATTAGACACCGATAAAAAAATTTGAAAGACATGTACAAGCATACAAATAAGATAAGTACAAAATTAATTCTAAAAAATTTAAATCAATATATTTACCTATGATTTTTTCACCTTTCCTTGACTCATGTGAATAGATCTAAATAGTTTGAATTTTTTGTCATATAATATTTTCCAAAGTAAAGAAACTATATTTAAATATGATATCATGCGTTCACATCATAAAGTCATCCCTCTAGCCATTATCTCGAGTATCAACGCGGATTGAACACGTCTCAAATCCCACATAGCTTATTTTCTAAACTAAAATATATATTTTTTTAATTTAAAACGCTTTTTAAAAAAAAAAAAAAAACTATTTGACCACCTTCACAAAAATCCGTTAACATG